CTTGCACAACGCTTCTGGTATTTGGTGTGAAGGGTTGAGATATCCTTTTTGGGAACAGAGCAAAAAACGGCCCCACCATAGCCCCGCCTTCGGTCTAATTTTCAGACCATCAGTTCTTCTAAAACTACATCTGAAAACCGAAATTATAAAAAAAAACCTCACCCTCCCTCTGGGGCTTTATGATATTTGTTTGGTTTGTTTATGTCCATTTAACACAAAACACTAAATACTTGAAGAATTACACAATTATGTACTTTGTGTTTATAGGAAAAACATTGTTTAAGGTTATTTTACAATATTAAAAAGTTAGTGAATGTTCAAGTTTTTTTGAAATATTTTCAAGAACTCTATGATATTTCAAAGCTTACCAAATTTGAATAATTATCACTATGAAGTTGCTCGAGTTTAAAAGTAATTATTTAAAACTGGTTATCGTCCAGTTAAAACTGTTATAAATATTTATTAGTTAGATAACATAAAATATAAGTTGCCGTTTAAGATTCAAAAGTCGATAGTGCTCTAAAATTTACAAAATTGAATGTTGCTTAATACTGTAAAATATTATTAATTATAAAGACAACAAAAAGAAATACTACAAAAGAGCATTTATTATCTCAGAAAATATGAGTGTCTTACGTTGCATGGATCGTCCAATTATTTAAAATTAAAAAATACATTTAGCGTTAATATTATACTAGTTTTCATTCTTTGTCCACCTTTGAGCTTAGAACATAATATTAAGATTTAAATGGCATAAAGCTTCTCAACGGATAGTAGAAGGCTTCGGATGACTTTGGTGTACCATTAATAATTTTAAAGCAAAACGCCTTAAGTTAAAAAGTAAGTGAAAACGACAAACGTTCAATTTTACTGGTAGTAGTATTGTAACAGAAAAACTAAACCTCGTGGAAAAATTAAATATGGTTTTATTATGAAGCTTGATAGGTATTTCAAAATTAGTAAGCACCTTCCTTGTTACATAATTTTGTTGACTAAGTGTTGTTATAGAAAATAAATTGGAGTCACTTTTGCAGAGTTAAACCCACGTTGAAAGGGTTTAGCTCCTAGTTGAATGGGTTTTGTATCAGTAAATAAATATCGTCCATTTCAACGTTTCATTAATCATTTAAAGTATTAAATTAAAAGCACTTGCTATTCAGGTTGTTTTTTTTTTTAAAATTAAAATTAATGCAGAAAGTCTACAAATTTTAGGATTTAAGGTCTGAAAGTAGATCTATGGCGGTGCTACAATGTTATAAGATTTTTTTAAGTTTACAATTATTAAATATTTATTTATAGTTGGCTGCAAAGGTTATGTGGTGCTATCTAGAGAACGGCACAAGTACTGTGTGGTTAACGATGACAGCAACGAGATAGCGCCACTCTAACTCTAATGTGTTCTTGTAAAATAAAAATTATGATTTTAAAATAATTATATTTACTAGACTGTACTTCTGATAAGTTATATTTTACTATAGTTGTTTGTAAAATACACAACTTTTAATTCATATTTATAAACATTTAGAGATTTTTATGTGAACTATAGTCGGTTTTTTTTTTTTACAAATACCACTAAATTATCGCTCAAGATTAAGATTATTATTTTAAGATCTGTACACACATTCTCATCTAGGTCATTGAGTATCTTGTTAAAAAGTCTTTACAATTGTAGCAAAGCGGATCAAAGATGTGTGCTTGCTATTGAAATATGTGTTGAATAATATTCAACTAGCCTGTCTAATATGTCTGCTACAAAGAGAACACTGTTTTTTGTATGGATTTTATTTAAAATTTGTCTTGTACGAAGTTTGCGCATTGAGAATATATTGAATGAATACATTTCTTTGATGGACAGTGTTAAGCACTATCTAGATGAATAATATTACATACGTTTTGTCTTATCTAGATAAGACAGGAAAGGTCATAATATGACCTCTCATCTTCGACGATTTGTTCTGCAATTTAATAGTATTGATACTTACAATAATTTTTCACTTTACATTTGTGCGAATAGCAGTTGAGAACAACTGTTGTTTAATATTATTTGGACTTTTGGCACTTGACTTTTTTAATTATTTCAATTATTTTAAATTATTTTTAGATTTTTATTTTGAGAAATAGCCTCCATCGATCAAACGCTTGAGATGTTCCTCTGCTGTGTGCAAATGTAAGAGATCATAATGTATCCAGAGTTAACTGTTCTATATTGCAATTTATTTTTTTTGGTTCTTTTATACTTAAATTGTATTGTGATAATTTTTTAAAATTTTTTTTCAAAAAAACAAAGACACTTATTACAAAATTACTATACATAAAAATATAAACATAATTTTTTTTTAGTTTGGCCCTTGGCTTTCTCTTGTTTTTAACGTTATGTAAAGTAACCATTGCGAAGCGAATAATTTTATTTCCGGTACGGATTTATCAATGAAGATTATTCATAAAGAAAAACAACTATAATACCGTTTTGCATGCACGTGGTTGCGCCCATCACTTGGCACGAGGACAACGATTACATAATTTGAAGCTGATTTAACAACGGCACGTGCAGAATATTAATTAATTATATTAAAACATATATATATAAATATATATATATTATTTTTGTATAGGTAGTATGTTTAGATAGTATATTTTAAATGAAAAAATACACACCTACACGTGTCTACGCTAATGTGACACTAATTATATGACAGTTTCAAAATATGTATAAAATATTGTGATTTGACAGTTGAGAATGTTTTCAATTGTGAAAAACGTTTTTCAATTCATATTTTTTATGTCTTTTTGACAAGCTCTGCCTAACGAGCTTAGAATCAACTGTCTATCTTTATAACTAATATCTATATTTTAGTCTTAACTCTTAGATTTAATATAGGTTAATATATGTTTAATATCACCACTTTTAGAGCTCTATTAACCTTTGAAAATTAAACGGAAACGTCGTTATTCAAAACTGGTTACAGACCAGTCAATATTGTTAGTGAATTATTCTTTATCTAAAAAAATGATATAATAAAATATATACTACCAAGTAAGATATGGAAGTTGATAGTGTTCTAAAATGTATAAAAAAAAAAAAGTTTGAATATTGTTTAATATTGTAAAATAAAATTAACTAAAACAGCAACAATAAAAAAGGAACTACAAAATTGTAACTATTGTCAGATTAAATTAAAGTCTTAAACAGAAATAATCATTCTGTATAGGTATTACTTTAAATTGAAAAGGCAGTCGTTGACATATTTTATAAAACTATCTTTCTTTGTTCATCGTTGAGTTTAGACATAATACTTAAACGGCATAGAGCTTTTCAATAAATAAAAAAACGGGCCTAGGAGAGAATGGGGAATACCAGTCAGTGGATTATACCGGCCAATGGCATATCTCTTAAAATATGATACCTAAAATTTCGATGAGCACATAATTTGATAACTGTTGTTACCAGAACCTAATACCAGATGTATCAAAATGATAAACAACTTTTTACCCACAAAAAAATAATATTATTAATTTTTTTATCACTTTTGTTATGATATTTTTCCAAAATAAAACTCATCTCAAATTGAGAATTTCTAATTTTTTACTATATTCACTGTTTCTAGTATATCACAAACTGGCGAGGATTGCATTTATTTGCTCATAATATAAATAAATATTACAGCTTTTAAGTAAATGCGTGTATTTAAAAAAAAAAAGTCTGATAGGGTTAATAACGGTCAAAAAATAAATATTAGCCTTTTCAGTGTTTCATTGAACAATTCAAAATGCCAACAAAGTCACCCGGGAAGTAACTAAATCGGTATTAATTAAGAAAAATTCCTTTTCCCGTTTATAATTATAAGCCAGGTTTGCATTTATAATAATCGATGAAAACATAATATACATTTCACTAACGCCCATTCCGCAATAGCACTGTATTATCAAAACGCACTAAAAAACCTAAAACCTAGAATATGACAATAATAATACCTACGGGTTGTCTTTGAGATGGACACTGTCGTTGTTCGACAATTGATTTAAGTGTTTTATAAAATATTATATCCTATTTTTGTGGTCTTCTAGTGTACCTGTTGAATCTGCAGTGTACCGGACACTTTAAGGTATTATGAAATGAAATTTCCGACGCGTTTGACAAAACATAATTTTTAATATAAGCACACACTCCTCGCGGGCAAGACGCTTGTCGGTTTCACATAGAAATTATTTCACAACATATTATTACAAATATCAAAGCGACACAGGAAATGCACCTGACGCCAACAACCGTGGGCGTTTCGCCGTGTAGATCCCACGTCTGCACGTCCCATACCTACTATGATAATATTGTTTATTAATATATAATAATATTATGTATAATGTTTACTGGGTCAAACGCGTGGGCGGGTTTTAGAAATAAATCTCAACACGGTTTAACCGCCTTGTCACGCCAAGGCTTTATTGTTTATTTCTTTTCCACGTGTGTAAAACGTTGACGGAAATCTGTTGACCGAAAATACTCTTTTGTTTATGTTGTCATACTGTTCACCCTGCTTTTAAAGTGTGTAATTTAAGACAGAAAAAATTGTTGAGTACAGTATTTTTTTTTACACTATAATAACTTTGAAAATATTTAATGAAAACTGTTTTTCTACCAGTGAAAACATTTAGCGATACGTTACCGTTGGAGTTTTGAAAACCACACAGAACTCTAGTAAATACTAAACAAGGTAAATAAAAAAGTGTAAATACACTTTATTGTTAAACAAAAGGTTTTCGAATGACGAAACTATTCACTGATGATGGTGATAACGTTACAGATGATTGATAACATTTTCTTTGGCCACACTGTACAACAAGAGGATTATTAGTGTTCCTATTTTGGACACACTGACCCGAGAGTATTAAAGTTTTGTTTACATTTTTTTTTCAATTTTTCCAGAGTGTGTTTCTGAGAGGTTTTATCGAATCTGTGATATTTCAATATGTTATAATCCTGCTGAACTAGTGCACACACTTACCTTCGCAAGTGAACACAAACGAAACGCTGTCGTTGATGATGTGATAGACTCTGTTGAATTTGATTATCAAGCTGAACGTCTGACCCCGGCGCACCACCAACCCGAACTTTGTGTCTCTCATACAAGCATACTTGCTGGTTCTGTGCTTGGAACCGTTTTCTTCCAGACAATAGTCGATCCAGTCGACTACCAGCGGTCCGATCGTCTCCCTCCCGAATGATCTGGCTGTAGGCACTGCAAACGAAAAAGCGATTATTGTAATAATGTTAACAAAGTTATATTTAGTAAAAAAAAAACAAAGTACATGGGAACCCATGGATATGTCTTAATATACAAGTATTATAGAACCCTGGTACTTTCTGATGTCGAATGTTTTTCTTATCTCTTATCACCAATCTCTTATCTCTTATCACACCTCCAGCATCTAGCTAGACCTACTCTTAACTTTAATCTATTACCTTTAACCTCCCCCCTCATCAACTCTAGCATCCAGCTGTACCATCTCTTAACTCTAATCTATTATCTCTAATCTCTTCTCTATTCCTTTATCTCTATTTTATTTTATTTATACTATCACAGTCCACTTCAGTCCCAGTTTATACTTTTAAATGCTATATTTTGCTCGACAAGTATTCATCCATAACTTTTATACAATTATACACTTTAAACAAAACCATAATCGACTAGAATATCAAAATACAAAATTTTTCTAACGTTTAATATTATAAGGATGTTATTTGAAAAATTCAAAGTTGGACTTATCAATCTGATAATGATTGATAAGCACAAAAAAAATTATTTATAAATTGTTCTGCTATTGGCAATAGTATTGAATCGATATTGTTAAGTGTATAACACAAATACTTTACCCTCTTAACATATTAAGTTTATTTTTTTAATTAAAAAAAAAATATTTTTGTTGTATAAGTTTGTTGATTAATTGATGATTTTGTGATAAGTCCAAAAGTTAAAAACAACTAGTGGTTTCAGTTTTCTGATTGTTTTTCTTTTTTTGTTTTCTTTTTCTTTTGTCTTTAAAATCATATTATTACCATAATGTACATTTACATCTTACTTGTTATTGCTGTTTAATTGTTGAGCCGAATGTTTTTTGTTAATAAAGGCTATTAAAAAAAAAAAAAAAAAACTAGTGGTTTCTGTTGACTACCTACTTCAGTTGTATTTTCAAATAAAGGAAAATGTGCCTTTATGTAACTTGTATCTTCTATAAAAAGTAACAACACTCAACAAGACTGGTACTAATTACAATTGGAACCGATTTACATAACTTTGTATCCTCTCTATGTCTCTTAGGCCATAATAAGACCTAAGATTGCAAGCTTTGTTTGTGTAAACAATTGACTCAGACTCTGATGACATTATTATAATATAAAAATGTATCAATGACGACCAAAAAAGGTCATTACAATACATAGACAACCGTGTGCACAACATAAACACACCTTGCGGCTAATTTCATATAAGGAATGATTACACCATTTGTGTTTTGGAGACTTAGAAAATTCAATCGGATTACACTGTTGAGGCGGTTGAAGGAAAAAAACTGTTACAAAACAACAAATGATTTAAATTTTTATTTATAGAAAGACTGGGTCACACAAATCTTGCACAAACGATATATGACTATAAAACACCATTTATCACTTTAAGCATGTTATTCGAGTGAAGTGTTAGAACTTAAAGTCTGAAATTTAGATATTCAACCAATTAGGTCAAATCCAAAAAAAAAAAAAAACATCCTTTCTCCTTCTACTTTACTCTTATTTATTTATTAATAATTACTTTATTGATTTATTTTTGAGATAATGTCATTTGAGTTCCCAAGTTTTAATAAATCTGACATATTAACTAGCTCCTTTTTACAAAATTTGAAGAAAAAAACAGTTACTTTACTACTTAACTAGTTACTTTTTTTCCATGCCAGTAAATAGGTAATCAGACGGAGTTACTTGGCCGACTCTCAATTTTAATTATATTGTCTTTTTTTTAATTAGACACAAAAATAATCTTATTTAAATATTGTTTTGAAACTTTGATTTTTTTTTTTCAAAATGCGTGTGTTATTAATTTATAATTAATTTTTTTTCACTGATTTGATATGTATTGGTTTTTAAATTATTTAGAAATGGTGAATGTGAATTTGTGTATTTTTAAAGATTTATATTTTAAACCTAAACTGAATAACATTATTTATAATTAAGTAACATGTTAAAAATCAACGGATTTCATCATTTCGAATACAATGAAATATTTTCAAAAAACAAATAAATAATTACTATTTAGGTATTTAATGTCTGACGTTTGGTCTGACAGCTGCATTTAAAAAAATCCTCTGCAATATCGACCAAAAGATTATTGAATTTGTCCTACATTGTAAAGATTTGAATTTAAGATCAATTCCTTTCAAGTTTCTACAACAGTCACCAGTCAGTCGTTTGAAAAGGTGTATAAGGACCGCTTGTGTGTCATTACCAACTCTATAAATATTGGTATTCTCCAAGGAAATGGATGTCTTACATCAGAATGTAAGTGCATATTTTTAAAATTTTGAATCTTTTATTTAGCCGACGTCCTTGTGCTGTCTCGTTTAGTGCAATAAGACGTAGGACAGAATGCGCTAGGAAATTGCATAACCCGGTCACTGTAAATTGCACACAATAATATCATACACACACCCACGTGGGCACAATAGTAAAGATAGTAATAGCAGTAATAATATTGTAATTGTATAGTAATGATAGAATGGCGAATTGTGGGTCGACAGAACGTAGGACGCAGCAGCTGTGGGCTATAAAAAATTGACGGGGGGGGGGGCAATGAATGGTCCTTGTGTTTTGGGAAAGGAAAATTACCAAAAAAAAAAAAAGTCATTTTACCCAATTGTGTGTGTGTGTGTGTACTTTAGTCAAATAGAGAACCCTGACAAGATGCCTAAGCCCGTCGAGAGCAAAAGGGAGAATTAATTGTTTTATTGTTTTATCGTGTAGGTAGTAGTTTTGTTATGTGAAGCTTACTGATAACAATGCTGACTTGAACGTTATAGAAACACTTTTAGCTGCACTACAATAAGCTATTTCTTTACACGCAGCTAAGAAATACTATGTTTTTATCACAAAGAACGCCAATAAAGAAATTGTTTAAATACATTCGCTTTATAACGTTTGAACCATTTTTAATAACCGGCAAAACAGTTAAAAAAAAAAAAAATTATCTTTAAACAACACTGCTACCCATTTGAGAACGATACTTTTTTTTATACATTGGTAACTATTATTCGTTTTTTGTTTTTTTTTTTAGACTGACATCTAATGCAAATCAAAGAAGATAATTTTAAGATTATTGGTTGATGCTCGAAAACGATGGCTTTAATCACTTTTAAAATAGTATAATGTAGTTTTAAGTTTAATATTATTTATTGAACGTACAGTGTACAGTGTCACACAGATGCACTTGGACGAAGAGTAGCGCCAACTTTTATTTTCACTAGTAAATAAATTATATATATATTTTTTTTTTAATAACCATATACTTTGTGTTAAATTGCATATAAATTATTTATATTTAGAACTTAGAAGAAGAAAAATTGTTATCTCTGAAAATAATAATAATAATTGATGATAAGCACAGTATTCAACGACAATTGAATGTGTATCTTTATTGGTATATTAAATTTTTGAACGATTATTTTTAAACCTTTAACAACTTGATAAGTGATCATCCGAAGCTTGTCGACCAGTCAGAATTGTCAGCATTTTATTTTTAATTATAAAAGTTAAATTAAACACATTGGTTAACGTTAAATAGACAGAGCTCTGGAAAACATCAAAACGGTAAATACATATTTTAGTCGTTTCATAGTATTGTAAAATGACATAAACAAAATTTGTTAAAAATTTGTCTGACAGTCAGCCTGGTTAATTATTGTGTTTATTGACCGTATAATTAGTTTTGGCATTACCGTGCAAGTTTTAGGATCATCTCCTACGCTGAACCGTTTAGACCTGGCAGTCTCTTGGTACCGGTAGGACTAGTTAAATCTTAAAAAATAAGACATTATACCCAGCATGACGGGCCAAATCATAAAAATAGGGTTATGAGTATGAATAAACTTTTTATTGGCCATATTTCGTTTCTAAGTTATGTGACTTAAATAAATCGTGCGTATCGTGGCCTAATAAGCTATGGTCAGCTAAGGACAAACGATGAAGTATATCAAGTTTTGGTATAAATAGGTTTCTCGATGAGGTATATCGTTTCGAGTAAAATACAATTTTTCTTAGCAAGAATATTATTGAGTACCTTGTCTATTGTTCTTGTATAAAAAAAAATACTATTTGATTTCGCGTTATCATTTGGTATTTCAGTATACTTAAAAATTAAGTCAGTACACATTTGATAAACATAAATTATTATGGTAATTTGTACATGAAAACATTTTTTGCAACAGTTTTTAACCAAAGTAGGTGTCTGTTATAATCACTATTATAGTTTACAGAAGAAAAAAAAAATGATAACATTAATTTTTGTGTCTTTGCTTTGGCACATTAACGGAAAAATCGACACCGGTTAGCATAACGAAAATATCAGCTGATTTATCTGATAAGATAAGAGAGATAGAGAGATAAGAGAGATAAGAGATAAGATAATATATATGTTTTAACTTTGTTTAAATGTTCATTAAGATATTATTATAAAAGTTATTTGTCATTAAACGTGTACATTATAACGCTTGATTATATATTAATTTTTTTTTTTTTTATACTTCACCCGAATTAAATATTCCAAAATAAAAAAAAAATCACTTACATCATAATTTCAAAATGGTACATAAAAAAAAAAATATGCAATTTTATTATTGGGTACTCAAAAAAAAAAAGAAGACATTTTACATAATATTATTTATATACATATATATATATACTTTTTTTTAACGAATTTAACGTCTCATCTGTCGCTTATGTTGAAAATGAATTATTTGTGCCGTCGTCGGTTGTCATAATATTAATATTATGCGGTAAACGGGTGGGCGGTTCTAATTTTTTTTTTATATATGAAAATGTAGCTTGTATGATTATTATGATGCGTTTTATAAATAGGCACCGGAGCGCGTTGAGGGCCAAAAAACTAAATAAAAATACCTCTAGAATATCATCTGGATATCCGGAATGTTTTTATTATGTAGATCTTTGTAGAAAAATGAAACTAGAAAGTGAGACGGTTACAATACGTCTCATGAAATGCAGCAGTTATCCCTTTATGGTATGCCCGTGTTGTGTGTGAAATGATCGACAATAATATAGCCCACTAAAAAGTGTAATGATCTTAATCTATAATCACATTAGAAAGTGCTGTTTTTAGACTGTGTAAAGTGTTCAGCGTTTAACAGGTGATGTACTAAACGTCGACTATTTACTATCTCAAATGTAAGTATATACAAATTAAAAAAAAAGGCACATGTTAAAACTATGTCACTGTCGCCTATAACCAAGAAGTTATTGTTGTTTGCATAGATATGCTATTTTTGTAAATTCAAAGTGTATTTTTGCTAAAACCTCAAAAATTAAAGTATAGGCTTTTTAACAAAATAAACACAGCCCGAGCTGTGTAAATTATGTCTAAAAGCCGTTTTGAACTCATTCCAATCATTTGATCTGTCGTCGACCGGACAAATTTGGTTTGAAACTGATGTCTGGGCGGCGCAGATCAAACGCCATAAAAATAATATATTTTAAAGTTAACTGTCACTTATACTTAGGCATAGGGTAATTCATTTTATAACGCCAGACGCTATTGGCAATATATTGTAATGTGTTGTTGAAACAGTTTTTTTTTATACATACCTATTTTGTTATAATAATAATAATCTTCATTACGGAATAAATTCCAATTTACATAATTTAGTATAATGACAGATACATTTAAAATTACAAGAAAAATGAATAGGTACATGTTCTAAATAAATATAACAAAAAGAAGAACATACAAGAGTAATTAAATATTAAAATACATACATCAGTGAGATCTTTGATTGATGAGAAAAAATAAATCTATATAGTATTGGCGGTCGACATATTAACATGTAAGAGGGAGATAGGGACATATTATAGTTATTTCAAAGTATTAGGCAAGTAAAAAAATAGGTTTACATCTTGCATTAGGTAAATTAATTTTAAAATTTAAGAACTCTATTAATTCTAGACAATACGAACTTCATGGCTAATAGTTTAAACCTATTTAAACTATTCAACCTATTACAATTATTCATTTAAACCTATTCAAGCTGAGAACTAACTAATGAGAAGTATAATAATTTGAAAGCTTGATCATCATGGAAAACTTTACAGGTATGTTTAATGAAACCCAATAGAGATAATGCCTTATTTGGGATAACATTGGGACATGTGAGTTAAAGGATCAAATGACTCTAGTGACTGTAAGAAGTCATAATGAGTTATGTTTTTAAAGTAAATGAAATTTATTACAATATTCTAAACTTACTAAGTATTTAGTATTTTTTTAGGATTTTCCAGAGTAAACGGGTCGATTGGTATAATATATTAATATTGACTTTTTAAATAAAGAATAATTTTCCGATAGAAAAAAATATAAATAATTTATACGGTTTTTAAATTGGTATGTTTTTTTTGTCTTTAAGAAAATTATAATTTACCAAAATAGTAAAAATAAATGCTGGTTCTACTCTCAAACCGAGTGCACACCTGTGTGTACATTACCTACACTGTGTATTATAAATCATACTAAACTACTTCAACGACTTTAATATTTTCAAGCCATTATACTATCGAGTATCAACCGATAACTATTATCATGATTGTCATTGTAGAGTGTCTTACCCGAATGGAACACCAGGTAAAGCATAAAAGCATTAGCCGTTCCAGAGTAAAAAATATATAGGCCTTTTCTCTTCCTTTTATTTTGTTGATTTTTTAAAAGACATTTTCCCCTCTAAATTTTCATACTTTTTGAACTGATTGCCTAACGATAAAATATCATGATATATTTTTAATTACTCTTCGAAAATCAAAACAGTACACATGGCAGCTGCCTACATGGCAATGTGACGGCACGGTATTCAAGCCGGTCCGTATAGGTACTATCTTAAAGGAGGCAGTAGCTGGTCTTTACAATATGAAATACTACCTAAACGGTCAGCCGACTTGATCGTGCAATTGTGCCAAATACCGTTGTAAAATATACAATTGACGACCAAACGTGTAAGGAACGTGCTCTAGGTCTAGGAAAACACCTACCCACAGACTGGACTACCATGTTGTCGTGTAACGCATATAAAGAACAGCCAATTAAATTATTATTACTGTGCTCGCGTGTCGCAACTTAATAAATCACACTCTAAACTCGGTTGCGTCCTAATTTTACTTTTTTTTTTTTAACTTTAACGCAAAAGCTAACACATGTTCTGACGTCTTGATTATTGCCATGTGCCATCTCAGCTCACCCACATAAAAAAAAAAAAACCAAGAAATATGAGCTTGTTGAGAATAGGAAAATCGAGCAAATCGCTACACACTAATATCGAATATTAGTTGATATTTTTTGTTAAGTTAAAAACAAAGGCCAATAAACTCAACGATTTTTTGAAAACCCACAGTTGGCTAATATGTGTATAAGAAGAATGTATTTAAGACAAACTGACGTTACTTTGACATTTGTTTTTATCACCCAAATCGCTCTGTCGATTGTTCTATTCTTATGATGACTTTGGTAGGGAAAAAAAAAAGATTTATAGAATAATAGTAAAATAATTGTGTTTCCTTTTTTTAACAGGACGTCCAAGACGTTTCATATTGACAAGGATGACAGGTGTTCCACCTCAGGTGATCACAACTTATACGGCTATTCGCAGCGCAAACCGGTTACCAATCTTCCCACGACGACCCAGTGATGGACTCATTAAAAATAATCCATCAATGACCGTATCGGTGTTTACATTAATGACCTTCGACCGAAAAAAAAAAGGAAAATTTCTTTTGGGAAAATTCCAAAAACCACACAAAAGCGTTTGACATTAATTTTAAAACACAATTGCAATACACCACTGGTATTATGTTTTAAATTTTATAAGAAAGTAAACAAAGAGTTGTACTGATAGTATGATCAAACATTTAAACACAGACATCCGCCTGTATATTTTAAATAATGTAAATAGCACTTTTGAATGAGTCTTAGGAGTTAAGTGAATAGAGCGTTGCCTAAATTATCATCATTATTCAAGTTAAAATTATTGGAATAATTTTCAAACGTAAAATTATTAAAATAATTATTCATTTTTTAGTAATTTTGTTTTAAAACATTATTTCCTATAAATATAACTTACACATTTACATAAACAATTATTTTAATAACGCATTATTCATGTAAAAGTTATTCCAATCTTTTTGTATTTAAATAGTTTTAGAAATAATTATTCAAATAATATTTTAGTCGTATAAAAAATTATTTTAATAACGTTTTGTTCGGATAATAAAATTAATATTTTATATCGAATGAGAAATTATTCATAGAATTACAATTTTAATTATTCGAATGAAAAGTTATTCAAATAATTTCAAACTGAACTATTTGTCAAACATAATACTATTTGAATAGTTTATCCTAAGTATATTTTTTTTAAATCTTCAGAATAATTATTCGAATAATAGTTTTCACTCGAATGATTAAATTTAAAATGTATTATTAAAACTATTCGAATGATTTTCAAATAATCGTTTAAAAAGTCAGAGTTTTTTTTTAGAATCTTCAAAAAAATTATTCTAGTAAAGTTTTATTCGAATAAATCGAAAAGAAAGTATTCGAATAACGTTTTATTCTGAAAATGATTTATACAACTCTGCACATAATGCCACTACTTGGCGTTATACATTGTAATTATTACAACCAGAACGTTTTAATTGATTGTATACTGCTACAAAAGGTTTTAAACAGTTTTAACGAATGGTGCGCTTTTAATGATCTATCTCTAAATATTAACAACTGCCAAGTTATCTCTTTCACAAAAAAAAAAACGCAAGCCAATTAAATTCAATTACTGTACCTATATCTAATATAAATCTACTTGGTTCCTCTCTAGTCAATGATTTAGGTATACTATTACTATTCAACAATCCACATACAAACTATTAACATATAAAATCGATGACTCTTTTCAACTTTAAAGTTTCTAACCACAACACTCTTTTGTATTCATCGGTTTTCCCAGAGTTACATAATAATATGTTAAACCACCCAATAAATATTTCAATATTCCGTGGCAATCAAGATTTGATGCTCTCATAAACTATTTAAGTAAGTTAGTTCCCCTTTATTGTTTTATATTAATTTAGTATCCCATAGCTGTTAATATTATCTTATATGTGTATATCTATTTTATAATTTCTAGTTTCTAAGTTGATGAATGCAATTTTATTTCTTCAAACTAGTACTCACTTTCGTTGCCCGAACTGTCTTCAGCTTCGGTCTCGTGCGGTTTCGATATGCTTCTGCCCATAATAACCGTGTTGTCGTCGGATTTGCTCGGTTTGCCCGCCGAATCGAACAGTGCGCATAATCCGAAACAATCCGTCATAATAGCGCGACCATCGGTAAGTACATAGATAAAAAAACAAAATTATAATAATAATAAAAAAAACAGTCAGGCCCCTCTCCCCGGGTTCGGTTTGTCGGGCGACGAAAAAAAAAAAAGAGTTAGAAAAACAACCGGTAGATTAATAATATATTATCTTATTAATGTATCGAAAAAGTAAAAAACGCAAATATTAGAAAATATATACAACGAAGATACGCTTTGGAAAAATTAATACAATTTTTTTAATAATTTTTTTTTGCCTTAGCACAAAACACTTAACGGCCGTCCACAGACTAATGCGCGGTTGTGTATTAAGCCACACTCTACTACTACACAAGGCGATGGCAATCCGTAGGCGGATTTACAATCCAACATAATATTATAACGCACACTGCAGTTCCCACCGTCGCCTATTTTTTTATTTTTACTTTTTAGCTTTATATAAAAAGAGCTTTCGTTGAGTGTGTGTGTTGTCGACCAAGTTTGTTCTCGAAACGGTCAACGGTTAGTAGCTGTTATAATCGTTTCCGTCCTTCCTCGGACCGTTTATTAAATTGCACAATTATTTCTTTTCCCGGTAAAAAACAATGTCGCCGGGTTTCAAAAAAGGGCATTATTCCACATGGGTAAACCCAAACGAGAGTCGATAGTAATTCTTTAATTCATACCTCAGTGTACAAGCTACTCGGTGGTTCCTCGGTGGTGTAAAAACATAAGCGGACAAAGTCACCGTGTCGTTTAAAAACATTTAAAAGCCTAACCTAACCGAGGAGGGCAAAACTTAAGCATTGCTTCCTCCTCGGTAGGCGATAATCATTTATTTATTTTTCTTTTTTATCACAAATCCCTTTGCGCTCACATTTCAAGAAGAATTTACAACATTAAACCTAACCTAACCTAACCTAACCTAACCTAACCTAACCAAACCAAACCTAACCCTAACCTAACCTAACTAAACCTAACCTAACCTACACTAGTTTACTCTTAAAATAATTTCAATTTTTTATTTTTGAAAACGTTTTTGTTTATTTCCATATTACAATATTGGACAATATTCAAATTTTTACCTTTTTTAGTATTTTCTCTAGAGCTTTATCAACTTTTGAAACTCAAACGGTAATGTATAATGTATTTTATTAACTTTTCAAATTAAAAACGATTTTCTGAACATATTGGCTGGTCGATAACCAGTTTTGAATGAATAGTTTTTAAGTTATTAAAGTTTTAAATTTAGGACAGGAGGAAGGGCGGAGAGTAGAGTGATTTTTATCTACCTAATTAACTTGAAAATTAATAACTATTCAAAACTGGTTACCGACCGGTCAATTAATTTTAATTTGAAAACTCAGTGAAATATATAAATGTTTCTATTTGAGTTTCAAAAGATGATAAAGCTCTAGCAAATAATATACAAGGTACAAATTTGAATATTGTCTAACAATGTACTATAACCAAAAAGAAAATATTATCAAAAAGAAACACTACAAAATTGTAAAAGTTATTTTCAAGGTTTCAAGTCTTATAATTGAAAAAAAATTCTTAAGGAATAGAACGTATTAAAAGAAATTCGAGTTTGAAGCAATTTATGAACAGAAATATTCGTTTACTACTTAAATTTTTATAAACTTTAGTACAAATTGGTTTTTGAGTCACTTTTGGGTTTTTTTCATAATAGAAAAAAATATTTTCTACTTTATGTTAAAGATCTACCTTTAGTCCGGTTTTAGCTCCAAGTTTTACACCTACAGTTCTATTTTTTGCATTAGAAATTATTATTTTTTTAATAATATTACTTATATACAAACTTTCCATCTCAAGCTTTTTGGTTGTATCCTGGTGGACTTAGAGTGCTTGTTGGCGAAATTATTTATGATCTCCTACCTAATATGTCTTCTGCATTAAGTATACACTTTTGTATGAATTCCATTGAGATTTGTCTTATAGGAATTTATGAATTGAGAATATATTAGTGACTGGTATATAAATAGTAGTTTTGATGGGTATGTAGGTGGTACTTCCTAAGAAGATTTGACATGTCAGTTATGTTAGCATCTCATATTAAAAACCGAATTACACAAAACACACATCTTGCCTGGCGTTTGTATTGTGTAAAAACCGAATCTTGTAAAAAAAAACAGCTAATTGCAATGTTTTTTAATATTGTATTCTTTATACATTTACATTATTTTATTCTGGCCATTTGAAACAACAGTCAATTGTTGTACCTGGATAATATTTTTAAAAAGACATAACCTTATATAGATATAGCACCGACAAATTTTAATCACGTGGCATATTATAGTTATTTCAAAGTATTAGGCAAGTAAAAAAATAGGTTTACATCTTGCATTAGGTAAATTAATTTTAAAATTTAAGAACTCTATTAATTCTAGGCAATACGAACTTCATGGCTAATAGTTTAAACCTATTTAAACTATTCAACCTATTACAACTATTCATTTAAACCTATTTAAGCTGAGAACTAACTAATGAGAAGTATAATAATTTGAAAGCTTGATCATCATGGAAAACTTTACAGGTATGTTTAATGAAACCCAATAGAGATAATGCCTTATTTGGGATAACATTGGGACATGTGAGTTAAAGGGCAGCTTAGAATCAAATGACTCTAGTGACTGTAAGAAGTCATAATGAGTTATGTCTGTCTTTTAAATAAATGAAATTTATTACAATATTCTAAACTCACCAAGTATTTAGTATTTTTTTAGGATTTTCCAGATAATTGATGAAAAAAATTGTTAATAAGAGAATCTACTGATAAGGATGGAACGATAAGAGACAGGAAATCAGCTGATCAAAACACTTGTTCATAATCTTGCCGCCTTAATTAGAAGGATTGATGAATTATTTATTTGTTCTTTTCGGTGAGAATGCACACTAAAATAATAGTATTACCTTTATTATGGATTACAAAATGTGTAAAATTAACACAAACAAAACAGTTGTCGTGTAGTACTAACCCGATGTACTAGTAACAAAAAAAGAAAGAAAAAAATGTCATATCTCCAATCTGGTTTTGTGCGGTGATTTCTCGTTTTGTTGTATAATTTTTAACGGTCAGATCAACAGCCAACAATCGTACTCGGCTTCTCGGCCAGCTCGGATCTTACTTTTAAATATTATCCTACAAATTGTACGTTCGACCTTTGAGACCAGCACACGTTATGGACACGTACCTCCTATCTAACCTATGAAATAACATCTGAACCAAGGCACCGCATTAGCATTCTGTCTGCTTACATAAAACGACACCGTTTTCAGGTCGCATTTTACCGTGGGGGGAATACTCTAATATTAACCAAATAGGTGTTGATCACACTATTGTAAACTAAGTGAGTAAGAGTGAGAGAGAAAGAACAAATTTTATTTAAAAAAAAAAACCAAAGCGGACTGTCTGTCTACCAGCGGTTGCTTATAGTGGCACACGGTATATACCTTTCAGACGACAACGTTATAGGTTGTAAAATATAATTCATTGAGATAATAAACTTGATAAAAAATAATAATTAATAGTAATAGTAAAACGAATGGTTTAGGTCACATCGAATAACCGCATAAACAGTATAACAGTGTATTAGAACAGTACAAATTTGTAAAACACAAGAAAACGTCACAACGTTTCGATATTAATTTATTTTTGTCAATTTTTTGTTAATTATTAACAACTTGAACGTAGTTTGTATGTACAGAGACTTTTTTAAAAGTATTCTTTGCCATGCTTTCATGACTGTTGGTCACGTTCGATAAGAGATAGCTGATAAGGAGTTAGTGATAAGGGATCGGCGATAAGGGATTAGATTTAAACTAGAAAAAATAGAATCAAAACGCTGATTTCTATACAGATTTTTATAAATAAAACCGTCTTTTGCAGAAATTTAAAATTTGCTACGTTCGTTCGCTAAGTTTACACTTTTTACATAAATATGTCTCGTTCCTGGAGGGGTAGGAAAGGGAATATCCTGGATAAGTGATAAAAAAAAATTGTTAATAAGAGAATCTACTGATAAGGTTCGAACGATAAGAGACAGCCAATCAGCTGATCAAAACACTTGTTCATAATCTTGCCTTAAAAAGAAGGATTGATAAATTATTTTTATTTTTTTTGTGTGTGCATATGATAACTTTTGCAATGAAGACCAATTCCATTGTGAATTTCCATCAAGATATTTATTTTTTTGTATTTACTTTTTGGACATAAGAGTGTAAAATTTAGACTGATATGGTGCACATTTTTATAAATTATAATTAAACATGTTTTTAAATAGCTTATAACAATGAGCAGTTTAGTAATGTGACTAGTAAAATAACAACATTCAGTGTTAAATTTTCTTACAAATTTTATCAATTATTTTACAAATTAAGTAATAAAAAACGCGTTTTATTTAAATTTTGGCCACCGCATTAGAGTTTTAATGTTAAAATTATACAAACATGTTTTTTTATTTTTTTTTTTACATTAAATTTAGGCAGTAAGACAATTTTTACTGATAGATTTGAAATAATATTCAAGTCGTGAAGTGTATTTTTAAACTACTTCCCAAAGATATAGCCTGCAAATTAAGACTTGAATCTAAAACTAACTTTTTATCTTTCAGTGTTAACGAGGCGTCGTGTTTATGCAATATCAGTACGTTAATGTTAAGTAAAAAGTAGTCTGTAAGGCACAAAAGTGAGTTTATAATACTGAGACAAAGTTGAGTTTTAAAATATTGTTATCTACACGGTATAAAAATTGATTATTTTTTTTTTTAGTAAATATCACATTTTTTCCACTATTGTTTCCATAATTTGAAAAACATATTATTATAATAACTACATTAGGGGAAACACCAGTAACCGACAATAGTTGCTTTAAATTTGGTCTTAAAAATTCGTACCTATTTAATACATATATTCTATATAATTTGATATACATACACTGGGATATACCTTAGGTATAAAAAAAAAACATAAAATTTATTCTAAAAGTCAGAAATTAAAATATCATGATATCTTCGTTTAACGAGTCCAATGATCAGAAATCGTACCTTACAGATACTTAAAAGGGGCAAACAAGTTCGCATTCCCCACTTCTTAATAATTTACAAATCAAGAAAATATATAAAAAGTTAAAATAACTAGTTTTCTTAACTTTGTAAAAGGAAACTAGTTAATGTGTCAGCTTTATTAAAAATTTCAGAACCCAAAAGACGTTACCCAAAAATAAATCTAAGCAAAGTGTGGAAAGAGAAAGAATTATTCGACTGACTGAGTGGGTAAAATTGAATTCGTAAAATTAGTGGAATACCTTGTAATAATATGACAGCATTTTTTCTTGTTTATAAATTA